CCCAAGGCGCCACTGTGCGTCGTCTAACCCTTACGGGGATACGGGGATTGGGTTACACAACAGGGACAATAACAAACAAGGCGCGCATGCGCAGCACGCTTGGTTTGAGGACTCGAGCGAAAGGCGCATCCTTTTCCCCGCACGCGCTGATTTCGATTTTCATTTTATTCGTGATGATCACAATGATATCTCTTCCGATACATAGCCTCCGTACCCTATCCACTTTTTATTATTTCAAACAATTTTTTATTGGCCCTCGGGAGTTTCCAAACTTTGTTTTTTGCTTATCATTCATGTTCATGCAAAATAGGGTTGAAAATTCATGTACATATAGTTTGTGATTTTTTTTTCGTATTTTAGAGCCATGCCCACATTTAATGTTCGCCCCTTTTCCACCCCTTTATTGCGACGCGAGCAGCTGCCATTAAAATTCCCTTTTACTTTGCGCGCACAAAATTTTAGTAAAAAATCTGCAAAAATCGTCAAGTAATTGCCTGAAAAAAAATCTCAGGGTGAGAAAAAAATGAAAATCGAATCCTCTTAAGTGACATTTAACCTTTTGAATTTTTTTCTACCATTTTTGCACCATTTTGTAACGTATTTTTGTGAAACCAAAATAAAAAGGATTTTATTACCACCAGCATCAAGTCGAGTGTTTTCTTGGGAAACATAGATTTTAAATTGCGGAAAAATGGGTAAACTAACAGAAAAAGTCATTAAAAAAATGCGGAGATATTGCGGGTTTTGTGGTAGCGTGGGAATGGGTGAAAATTTTGGGAAATGTTATTTTCGGCAATGAAGCAGAAAATGCTATATTTTAAACAATTTTATAAGAGTAGACAGGGAAATTTTCACCTAAAGAAACTTTAAAATCTTAATTACAGATATTCATATGAAAAACCATTAATTTTCAATTAACCACAAATGAATTATTTATTTAACAATTTCAAACATATCAACCTTAAGCCCATAATTTCCACAGACAGCAATTGAAAAATCCTCTATAATTACGGTCTTGCCACACATTTTCACTTCATTTGCAGCGCTGCTAAGGCAAAATTTAAATGCAATAGAAATAAAAATTAAATTAAATATATGTGTTTAATATGAATTTACGCAATTTAAGAGCATTTTTTTAGTTTGCGGCCCGCTGATGTTTGCTTTTATAATGCGCGATTTGGGCCAAATAACTGCAATTACAAAACGCAAAAACGCAGAAGACCGGGTGGGGGAAAGGGAGTCAAGAGGGGCGTCTCGAGCGGTTGCACATGCAAAGTGCGGAAGGGAAAGAGACGAGGCGAGAGGGGCCCAAGTGCCTGGTACGAAATGTATGCAAACAAGCAGCGAAGTGTAGAAAGGCGTGTAAAAAGCGGGGGCGTCAAAAGCGAAGGCGCGGGTGGCGGATGGACGAAACGCACTGCAAATTATAAGCGCTAATTGTGCTCAGTGTATGCAAAAAATGAAAAACCGCCGAGTTGCGTGCCAAAAGCGCATTAAACAGAGCGCACCGTTATTTAAATGAGCGCCAAGCTTCGAGGATTTGCTGCCAGTGTACTTTATGCATGGCTCAAAAATGTGTACATGCTTTGGGCGGGATCAAGAAGAGAAAACAGAAACACAAATCATATGTATGACAAAACGAGATCATAAAAAATTCAAATATTTTATTGTTATTAAAATACAATAGTAAGCCGACTTTCCAGAAATTTTGGAGGCATAAAGAATGTTTTTTTAAATTTCATGTCACTTAAGTAAAGTAAAATAAAATTTATTTTTGCAGCGGAGGGACTCTTTTTATTTGTTGTTTAAAATGTATACAAAGTGCAGCATAACATTATATATGGTCTATGAATTCTTTGCGTTACATTTGTGATCTATACATTTTTGTTGAACCATGCAATGTAAAACAAAAGTGAAGGTATTTAATATTAGGTATATAAATCTTAGAGACTTTTCGATACGAAGCTTTCCCATGGACTAGAATCCAATTCTTTACGACCAACGGAACGGTTCAAGGGGCGCTTCTTAGAAAGAGTCTTAAAAGCACGACGCTTGACATTGGGGGAGGCCTTAACCAGGTGAATTTTCAAGCGACGCCCGTCCAAACGCACCCCATGAAACTTCTCGATGACCTTCATGGCATCATTATGATTCCTAAGTGCCAACTCGGCGGTTCCCAATGATTTGCCATGGCGATCATAGTGCACGGTCCCCTTCAGTATCAGTCCATCTTCATTGAACAGCTCCATGATATCCGCATCGTCCACGCCGTAGTCCAAATTGCAAACGAGGAGAAGAGTGGGTCCAGGACCCGTGGTCTTCTGAACACCTCCAGTTCCTTTGCGGGTTTTGAGAACCCCTCCAGATTCCTTACCTTGTTCTGGCTTCCTGATCATTTCGGTTACCCCAGAACGACGTTTACCTCGACGAGACCTTTTCGGTTTCTGCCGAAAGACATCTAGCTTTAGAATCTCTTCAAGCTTCTTCATTACAATCTCCATGTTGCTAGTGATATTTTTGCTTTATTTAAAGATTATTTAATGATACAAAAAAAAAATTATCTACCAATAGTCCGGTTGAGAACTGTTTCAGGTTGAAGGAACTATGAAAATTGTTAAAACGACAAATGACAGACTGGGCAGACACTTTCTTAGATTTGCAGAAGTTTAAAAAAAATTACTACTAAGTTCTAAAAACTTTTGATAAAAAATAATCATATCCCGATTATATCGAAAAAAATAAAGTACATCAAAATTTTACTCCAGTTTCCCACTGCGCTGTTTCGAATATCCCACCCATATTATAATACCTTAGATACTATATGAAAAGTCGCAAAAGAAGAAGCGATAAATTCACGTTTCGCATACACAAAAGAGCAAAAGTCGCAACAATAATCACTTTGCCCATTGTGCCGCCGTTTTGTTTCGCTTATTTTTGGTGCGTAGCCAAGTGATCACAATGGGCCGGTGATCATCATTTCCCGATTCTCCAGATTCGCTATTGTCTGGAACCGGGTTCTTCTTCGATTTTCTTGGCCAGTGTTACAGTTACACTTTGTGTGCCGAAATACGCAGCGGGTGTGGTGTAGTTGTTTCTGTAGTTGTAGTTGTAGTTGTAGTTGCCAGGGGACAAAAGCCAAATTGCACTTGGTTAGGTGAGCTCGATGCATTGTCCTTTGCGCAATGTGCAGTTCCCACGATGAAGGTACGGCGACTGCTCCTGTATTGCGGTATAGAATCCTTCTGGACCCCAGCAACACCTCCTTTGATTCCCGGTTACACCTGGTATTCGGTATTCTGTAGAGGAAGAGAGATGGATGGACATCGATCTCGGGCAGGTCTCTCCATCGATAGCTCCTCAATTAAAACCCCTGGCTGACAGAAATTTATGACCGTAGGAGGATCCTTTTCTCGGTGCTGCCACTTCCTCGTAATTGTGCAATTGAAATGCGCTGTCAAACGGTAAAAAATCTAATAATTTTTAGCCCCTTTGTTGTTCTTCGTTTAATGCTGCAATTCGTTTGTAGTTGCAGTTATCCTTATTATATCCCCGGCGGCTTGTCCTCAGAAGTTTACCTTTTCCTAAGATATTCAGGTTGCGCAACAGGCAGAGATTTGTTTGCTGAAGCGAGAAATTGAAATCCTGAAATATCGCAGATCCTAAATACTTTGCGATAAAAAACTAGATGACATTGGGTTCTTGGAAACGCAAAATGAAGGCATCAGGACAAAGGCGATGTTGGTTACTTAAGATTTATCTTTGTGGTACATCTGGTTTAAAAAGATTGCAAATTTTTGCACTAAAAAATTTTAGCCTTCTGATCTGAAAAAATTAACAGAGAGTCTAAATTAAACAATCCCTAATTTCTGAAAAGCTTTAGAATATTACCTACCCAAATCATATTTCCTAAGGTTATCTTCCCTCATTTAAAATATCACACATTCCTGCGCATTTGGGATTTCCCCTTTTCATTTGATTCCCCCTCAGAGAACTTTCACACTTGAAACCCATCCATGTGACTCATTTTTTAGTAGCATTCCGAAGCACTGAAATTACCCAGCAACAGGAAAAGGACTCAATGAACACATGACGGCGGTGTCCTGCCGTTATTTCAAGCATCAGTTACCCGGAGACATTTCAACGCCTTGCCATGAAAATATTTTTCATATTTCCCCGTTCTTTTTTGGCCCACATGCCGAGTGCAGGCCCTTCAGCCAATGAAATGTGCCCGGTTGGTTGCTTTTTTAAGAGTCCCCCCACCGGCGAACCCCCTCCCAAGTTTTCTCCACACCAAAAGCGTCGAAAATATGACGTTATCAGCATATTTCCAGGAGTGTGCGTATTGGGCCATCAACCCCTAGGGGGAAATATTAAAATGAAGGCTCGACGACTCTGCCCGCCCGTTTTTTATGTAAATCAACCCCTTTTTATGGCCCACCAGAGAGAGAAGCTTATTCAAATGGGGTGAGAGTCGTAAAAAAAGGGTTGCTGTGATTCCATAACGATGGGCTTATGTAAATCCCGAAGTCAACCCTTTCGGAGATAACGATATGTGCTTGTGATTGGTTCTCTGGCAGTGATTTGAATATATAGGGTTCTACAAAATGGTGTATGTTTAAGTGCTACGACTCAAGTTTTATATAAAAAAAAATTATCTAAGATATATACAAATAATTTATACTGTAAATTAAATTAAGTAAAATTAAATTAGTTAATATAAATTTTGGTGAAATTCCTTTTTTCCTATATAGTAAGATTTGCCGAAGTCAATACTGAATAGATCACTACGGTTTTTTATTTATAATTTAAGTTAAATTGGTTTAACTATATAAAATCCATGCAATTGTAAAATTTCCAGGTGGAATAAAAATATTTGAATAACATATAATCGTGATAAAAATTTAATTTTGTTTACCAAACTATACCTTGAGTTAGGGTTCCAAACTTACACAACCTGGTAGAAATCTTTGAAAATCTATTTTGCACATTTTTCTTTGCAGTTGGCAACTTTAAATTCGAGCCAAGCCAACAACATGCCGGGGCTGCGAATGAAGCTGTCCTAACGAGTGCCGAGGAGAACAAAGATGGAACTTTGACTGCTGTTGACACAAATATGCGCGATGTCAGCGCAAATCACAGCAGCTCCTTTCTCTCGTCCTCCCCCGCCTCCTCGACTCTGGTGTCCTGCCACTCCCCCTCCGCGTCGCCCCCTTCAGAGAGGGGGGATGAGGGGACGAGGATAAGGGACAAGAAGCTAACGCTCGAATTGAAGTTGCAATCGTGTGATGAATATGTTGAGCAGCCAAAGGATAAAGGAGCCGAACGGCTGCATCCAGCTCAGATTGCCAACAACAATGCTTCGTCGCCTCTGCAATTGAAAGTGGAGGAGCAGGAGGAGCAGGACAAGCAGGAGGAGGGGGAAAAGGATAAGGTCCTGGAACTGACCGGAGCAGCAGTTGCTCTCTATGGCCACTTGAACAATGCCAGCAAGGATGTGCGAGATTTAGAGCAGTGCCTGAAATTGCAGGACCCAAGTGGTGAGTAGAGAAGGAACTGATGCGATGGAAATTAAAGTTAAGAAGATTTTCAAGAAAAGGGGAGCTATATAAACATGTGCATATAATTTTATTAAATAAAATACTTGTTTGAGAATTAAATTTATACAAAATTTTTAGCTTTGATGAATATTTTCTGTTAGAAATTAAAATTATTTAGTCTATTCATTAAATCATTTAAATATTTTGTAGCCCTAATTATTGAAACCTAAATAACATAGTTCGAAATGCAGGCTTAAAACTTTTTTATGAATAGGTATCTAACACATTTTCTTGTAAATCAATAATTTATCTTATTATCAAAAGACATTAAGCCCCTATTTCAAATACACATCTGTATATTTTCTTTTCCGCCTTCCAATTACCCTAAACCAATAGTTCATTAAGCAACTGTCCTCAGCCAAAATCACAGCTGAAGGCATGCAAAAAGATTTCCGTTTTTTACCTTAAAACTCGTGGGAAACTTCCGCAAAATAAATCCCAAAAATAATTTCCGAAGAGTACATCGATTTCTGTTTTTTGGAGAAAAAGGCGCAAAATAAATCAAAAACCGTTAACAACCACAATCGGAGATCTAGGTATGCTCAAAATAGCAAGGAAAAGAAAGAACGCAATTAAGGAAACTCGCTATAAAACTCCCGAAAAAACGAAACGCAGAGAAAGTTTCCTAACTACCCCTGGGCAAACAGAAGGAAACTCAAATTTTCATGCTAAAAATTGCATAAAAAAGCGGAAAAAAACTGCAGTTGGGGGTAGGTAAACGCCTCGCATATGCATATCTCAGGACTCGGTACTCACTACCTGAGGGTCCTGCCGATTTGTGTCCTTACTTTTTGGGGTGTCAAATGCCAGTAAAGTACCGTAGCATGTTCTTTGCTATTCCATTGTTCAGCCTCGCTCTATCGTGTGTTTTTTAAGAAATATTTCCTTATCGAGGTAGGCAGACAACGCAATTGATTTCTGTTCTTTTCTACCCAAAAAAAAAACAGACCGAAATTTTCTATAAGGACATAAATAAGAATCAAGGAATGTCATTGAATGTCATCCTCGACATCGATGATTCGGTGCTTCATCATGTTACCCAAAACAAAGACAAAGTCTGAACTGAAGTTGCCATCGAAGATATGTAAAAAACCTTAGGGGAATGCTATGCCAAGGATCATGAATATTTTTGGACCAGGGACAGGCTGCAGCAGCTTTTCCTTTTCCCTCCTCATTTTCAGAAGAGCTACCCTCTTCGGTCCATCCCCAAGTTATTCGAGTTCAAATTTCCTATAATTTCCAGCAAAATTGTGAGCGGATTTTAAGAGATGCTAAGCTGCTGATTAGAATGAGGGACAAATTTAATTAACGCACACACTCTAGCTGCACTGGCGGTGAGTTTTCTACTGAATTTATAGTTGCTGAAAGGGTGCAAAAATATAATCTTCAAGGGCAGATGACTTTCGAAAATGTGTGCACAAATAATTGAAATAGTGTATTCTGAATCATGAAAAATAATTTAATGGAAAAGTAGAGGAACACAATAATTTAAACATTTTTTAAGAATTTATAATTTAATTTAATCTCCTGCTCTTAAACTAGCTCCATTAAATTGTGTAGTCCCAAAAAATATATAAACTTTCTTTTTACTCCAAATTCAGTTTCCTTTTCCCATTAATCAATGCACTAAAATCTAAAAATCAGTATACCCACAAGAACAAGCCCCAAAAAGGGAGATCTCACTAAAATACAAACACATGCCAACATGTTTGCTGGTCGAAAACACTTTACGATTTCATTAGACATTTCACTTTTCATTATTTTCTCAAACAATTTACCAAGTACCCTCCAAATGGGTACGGAAAAATCCCTTTCCATTTTCTTTTTAATATTTTCCGGCTGCCCCAATAAAAATGTTGTTTGCCAGGTTCAACTCTTCTGGACTTTTTGCCTTTTTTATGATCTTTGCCTACATTGACTTAAGTAATTCTCGGCAACGAATTTTCTTTTACGATGGGCCGCAAGGACGCCTCGCAGTGTGAGGTGAGTGCGAAAGGGTAGGGAAATGCGGGAATGCCGGAAAATAGAGGGAGAGCCGACAAATAGTTTTGATATTTTTTATGGACACGCACAGTAGGCCACATAGCATCAGTTCGAGTTCACGCAAATAAAAAAGTCAAACGGTCAGCAAGTCAATAGCAGCTAAAAAGAGTGAGTTGTATCGAGTATTTGATACCCTGGTCTAATTAAAACTGTTTATTAATTCACTAGGATAAGATCGAATATGTCAAATTTGCTCATTATTAAACAGACCATACTTTCAGCGACTTTTTGCTATATCATGAAAATGTATTTCAACATTTAGTTAACAATTATCATATTAGCATAACTATTACCATGGTTACATTTTTAATTTGAAGAAAAGATTATTTAAAGGATTTCTATCTACCAATGTTTTTACAGATATATTTATTTAAATTACGTAAATTGTTCTCAATTTAGTTAAGCCCAAAATGCCTCCCATACCCTGTAGGGCATCTCAGAAATCCTTTTTTTAACAGCTCCTTGCGAACGTGAGAGAGCGGATGACCAGTAGTCGAAGTGGACCAATGCCTCATGGGCTAATTAACATGTAGACCCAGGATGCTGGCCAACAAACCGACTTTCTGACTGCCCAACTGACTCGAATGACTCGGTATCCTGAGATACCAAACGTATCGAATGTTTTTTATGATTTACGTGGAAATCGAGCCAGTTCGCGTCGTAAAAAAGATGGCTAGCAGCGCGAAATCCTTCAGACCGTAGGAAAACTAAACCGAACCGATCCGAACGGAACGCAACGGAACCCTAGGTGGCTATCATTGATGGAAGCGTTAAACGCTTGTCAGGACCTAGTCACTGATTCCTCTGACTCGACCTCCCTCTCCCTCACATATTTTCCTCTTACCTGTTTGTAATTTTTGACTTTTTATGACTTTGTAACAATTTTTTATGATTTTTTTCCATAACAAAGCGATATACGCATAAAAAATATATGTGTACATTGTGCACTGGTCAGGTAGTTGGGCTAGTTTTTTATATGGGAAAGATTTCGTTACTGTCGCCTTGAAAATTTGACTTTTTCATTATAATTCATTTGTCCTCACATTTCTTGGGAATATAAAAAAACATTTGGTTTTTAATATGCATAAAAAAGAAATTCATGGAAATTGACCTATGTGCCGGATTTACCAGGTCACGGAATTGTTTAAAATACGTTGGAATTATAATGTGATTACAAATTTATTTTTTTATAATTGATTTCGCTTTTAATTCAGAAATATTTGTCACCATAAATGTCGTTTCCTTCCGAAGTAAATACAAAACCAAAACAAATCATAAAATAATAAAAAAGCGGAAAAAAAGAAAATTTGCCAGGAGCAAGAAACAAAAGCAAAGAAAGGCAAAGGAAAAGAAAATTCTGCCAAGTGGGTGGCAAGCGCAAAAAAGGAGATGCCAACTTTCCGAGGGGAAGTGGGTGGCTGGAGGTGGTGGTCTTCTCTTTTTTCGGGAGTAGGAGTAGGGGAGCTCCGCACATGTGTGCATACATGAATGGCAAATAAAATTGCGAAAGCGGAGAGGCAACGGGAGCCAGAACAAAGAGCGAAATCAGAAGACGACAATGCTGCAAATATAAAGTGAGGTTTTTTTTCGTTGAATGGGGAGAGGGGTGGGGGTCTCTGCTGCAGTCGACGTCGACGCAGCTTTAAAATATTTTTACATAGCTCACAAACACACATATACGCACACACCTAAGCAGCATTTTTGACTCGCCAATCATAAAATAATATGCATACACACATACAGCTTCAAAGAGCGAGAGGGGGCCCGTATAAAAAATCCATTGCCATTTGAAAGCCAAATTTAAATTTTAAGCCACGCCTCAAACAAGCGCACGCATCTCGCACAAACACACACACACGTACAACAATGGAGCCCACGAGCGAACCACAAACGAGGTAGCCCCCCACTCACACACTCTCACACTACATTTTAAAGCGCATAAAATGTGTGTGTTAGTTTACAATTCACTCGCCTTCGAGAGAGCCCAAGAACTTCTCCTCTCCACTCCAATTGGATTCTGACTGTGTGTGTGTGTGGAACGCATTTCTAATGCCAACGCGAGAGAGAGTGGGAGAGAGAGCGAGCGATGGAGAGCTTTGGGGCTCGCTCTCTCCATCTCGCTCTCCTCTGCCTGCGATTCTGCCTTTTGCCCCAAGTTCCAATTCAACTGCAGTCGACGCGCAAAAGTGGAACCAGTTAAACGTGTGGAGCGCTACATCGCGTTTTTTATCACGTATACGCCACCATTTCCCCAGTCGCTTTTTTACCCCCCGTGCTTGAGTGTGTGTGTGTGTTTCTGTGTGTCTGGGCTAAAAAAAGGACAAATCAACCCATAACGCTTTTTTAGGGGTGCAACAAACACACCAGTTTTCAACTCAAAATCCCAAACGCCGGCAAAGAGAGGGCGATAGAGAGGGAGAGAAAGAACGCTCGCAGAGAGAGCGAGAAAGAGAGAGCAGACACAGACCATCATCATTGCCATCATATCATCATCATCGGAACGGAACCCAAACATTCAGGCCTAGAGCGATTATCCGTTAGTTCGCAGAGAGCTATCCTGCCGCTGCGACCGCTTCTCTGTTGTCAGTTTCACACGAGACACGAACGCGTCCACACGAAAGCGGCGCTTCTAAAAAAAAAAGAAATATTCAACAAACAAAAAACCAAACATTAAACACCAAATAACAAACAATCAGAACCCAGTGCTAAAGTGAACTTACAGTGCTCATTGAACATTGATCATATCGCATATAAACATTTGTATCTGCACCTTTGAGTTGTGAAAATGGTTATGTCGGAGCTACGTTGGCACACCGCTAGTCCCGAGGATAATAACAACTCCTTGAAGCGCGATTTGCTCAAATCCACACCGACCAGCGCCCGCGAGGCCGCCGTTCACATAATGCAGAATCGATGTAAGTTGAAGCCCTCTGAACAGCTAAAGCAAATCATACAAGTTATTGAAGCTTTTCAAATACATTTTAAGTTTTTATTTAAATACTTTAAATGCCAATATAAAGCTTTTAAGTCTATTAATAACACTTATAAACATTTTTAAATAAATACTTCTTTGAATTTACAATAAACTTTTAACTTATATTAAGTTAAAAAAAGTAGTAATATTAATCTTCCATTTGATATTGAAATTGAGTTACAAAGATTGTCTCTAATCTTAAAAAAAACATTGAATTACAAAAGCTCTGACAAAATATTTTATTGTTTTAAAAAAATATACTCGGTTTATTTTCAATAGGACACCTATTCAGTTTTTAAATAATTACTTTAATTAGGTAAAAAAACATATGAATATTAGAAAAATGAAAAGCTGAATCAACCATAAGTCCTCATGTGTTCCGATAAAACCCCAACTAATAACCACCCAAAGGCGGTTTCCCCAAAAACGCTTGTGCAAGGTCTGCCTTTCACCGCTGAATTACTAAGCCAGACCTCGTGAAAATTACCATGGGCACTGAGTCAGGTGCTCTGCACTAACGAAAAACCCAAGTCTCAATGGCCAACAGCTAGAACAAAGAAAACTGCAATCTGCTTATTGAAAATAAACACCGGCACAGGTGTCCCCGCCATAAATATTAACTCCCAGCGACCCACTTAAAGACGGGTCTCAAAAACCCCGCCGGTGCCAGGCTACGCTAGAGAACCACAAACTAACAAATGAGTATTACAAATGCCGGACCATAAAAATATTTATTAAAGACGCATTTCTTGCACAACCAGCCCACAATTGTGACCATGTAAATAGGTACGGTTCGGGCGAGGGGTACCGATACTACTTGTGGCGATGGGCACTCAATGGAACCGCTCGGCCGTTGTAAACAATACTTTTAATTTGTTACCTTATCAATTATCGTTTTCGAAGCGCAGCAAATGCGGGGCAATAAAAAAGCGCATTTCGATGACAAATATTGTAAAAGGAAGTATCATACGGAATATGCGTAATAATTCCGATGAGCCACACTCGAGGTGTACCAAGTGGTACGGGCTCAGGAATGGGTTATGATTGATTATGTAAAACTGACGAACGGAAAGTGAGTAGCTCGGTGTTTAAGTGGCGCATACAAGTCGCCAGATAGGCAGGTGACTATGGAACATTTTAATGAGACAGACGTGAGGGTGATAAAATGGGGGATTTTTTTACGTTATACAAATTTCCACCTACTTCGTGCAGGAGTACTTCTGTGCCCTGCTTCGAGCACGTGACGCAAATGGCTTCTCTAATCTCAAGAACTAACGATAGCTAATATATGTCTCATGATATTCCCGCAAGGGTTTACTTACCTTGTACACTACGATTTGCTTATCGCGGCCGCTTATCGCCAAAAACCAAAACCGAAGTAACGTTTTGCACACCTGCACAATACTCAAAGATTCCAAGAAGTCCGCCTCTCAAAGTAAACAAGTATCGTCATATTTTGGTGATTTTAATAAATTAATCGGAGCCCACAGAAAATACTGGTTCGCTCGTCGCCAATCAGTTTTAAATTAATATATTTGGCCGATTACGGCCACGCCAATTGACGACAATGTCCAACTTGAATAATAACATTATTTTTAGTCATTGTCCATGAGCTCATGCAGTCTTTTCCATTTTTTTTATATTTGTTGTTGCCCTACTATATCGCGTTATCACCTATCGCCGCTATAAAAGCCGATCAAGAAAGAGGGCGTGTGTCCGCTGGCTCAACTTTTTATGGGTAATTCTAGGAACCCGAAGGAAATAAATGAAGTATCGATTAAGATTTACCATTAGCAAGGCGGAAATCGTTGATAAATGCAGCAAGTATGGTTTTGTAATGCAGGTTAAGTGTTAAACAAATGTGGTTCACTTTTTTAAGGGCTTTACAAATTAATTAAAACTAAAACCTTTGTTTATTTGTTTAAAAAAGATTACAAAGGCTAGTTGCATATTTAATAAGCATTACTTATAATATTCTAAGACCACAATTTATCAGGAATTTGAATGCAAAATAATTATTTACTGAAAGACATAAAACTAATACTTGGGAAACTCCTAAAGGAAACTGCTCTTGAGAACATAAGGAGACTCTCCTTAATTGTTTTCGCACTCTCTCGCATCCTCTAATCAAGCTTTCATTTCGCCGCACTTGAAGCTTTCTCTCTTTGCGATTTTGCTAGTTTTGTTTTGCTACGAATATACAGGCAGAGACAAAGGGCCAAAGAGCACGCACATAATGTTTGCTTTCCCTTCATTCTATTATATTTTATTTTATTTATTTATGTTATTTTTTCGGCTACTTTTCGGGGGTTCCAGCCACCCACCGAAGCGGAGGGGTCAAGAGTTCAAGACACGCAGCTTCCGCCGACGACTCAATCGATAGTCAGTCTCAGTCTGCGCACGTGATGACCATATAGCATATATGGTCGGTTGGACTGCCTGTGTGTTGGTCTCAGCCCAGCCACCCCCAGCCAGCCAACTGTCGAGGTCATTGACTAATTGTGTGCGCCACCAATGCCCAATGAATCCGACTTCTGTCCCCCTTCGATTCTTCGACGACCATCGTCCTCATCATAAACCGCCACCCCCGCTGGGCGATTCTCTAAAATTTTATTTATTTGGGGGTGGCCGCCTGTGGTTTTCGCAATTTATCTGCCAAAAACTGTAAAATTCTCAAAAACGTTTCCAAATGCTGCTCATTTTACTCGTGCTGGACACGCGCGAGGGTGTTGAATTTCCCTTTCCTCCCCACCTCCAAGTTACATAATTTATGTGGCATTTTAACGCCGGGTTTTTGTAAAATTTTCATTTACCTAACTCGAACCGATATACTATATGTGTGAATGTATATTCTGGATCCGCACATATGCCACATGCACCACTTGAACTGGCAGCAGTTGTGCCGCTTAATTAGCGGGCCAAAGGCGTGGCCAAAAGGGGCGACAGAAGTGTGCCAGAAGTGAGGGAAGATTGTGGTGGCAAAAGGGAAGAAATCCATTTCAGATAAACTGATTTAACTGATAGGATCTTAGGTAGCGAAATCGAAAGGAGGTGAATATAACTGCTAAAAGAAATTCATTCAGACATTTTAGGAGGTATTATTAATTAGATTAAATATAAGGAATATTTTAAAATATTATTAAACATATTTAAATGTATTTAATAATACTACTTTAGTTACTATTCAGCAACTTAATCTTAAAGAAATTTAATCAGCTAATGCAAACCTTGAAATTTGCTAATCCCAAAGTGTCATACTACACCCAAAAAAATAAGAGCACTCAGTTTCTAATGCATTTCGGAGAGGTCACCTCGCTGCACTCGTAAATTAGCCAGCGAGACCAAACAAAATTCAATTTCTACAGACATAAAAATGCAGCCAGCTCAATTTCAACACAAATGCTGACCGCTCTCGTTCCCAACTCGAAAATTCAAATCGTACACAGACCAGGTGTTCCTTGAACTCCATTTCATCTCCATTCCGACTGCCCCTCGAGGAAGGTCCATAAAAATATCCTTTTATAGGCAACGGTGTCGATGTCTGGACTTTGGACTACCGGCCATTTGGTCAGTCCTGGCTTAGAATGTATATCGATATCGATTTTGGGTGTATCGTAAACTTGAGCGTTTGCTTCTAGGAAAATGTTGTGTATTTCCATTTTATGCTCGCGACGTGTGTTATTTTACTTTTAGCTTTAAGTGCTCTCAATTTAGCCAGTCTAAAATTTTGTTTTCCCTTTTCTTTCCTTCCAGATATCAGTCGTCTGTCGCGTTCGCCGTCGCCACTTCAATCGAATGGTAAGTGTGTTTTTGTATATTTTACCCATCTCAGAGCATCAGCTGTTGTCCGAAAACGATTTACGAGATTTGTCCACTTCATAGGGATATATATGTATTCACATTTCTGGTCTGAAACATCTGCTTGGGGGCATACTCGGTTTCACTAAATCACTCGCATGTTTTCGGTTCGACAAAAAGACAATAAACCGGAGGGAATATCAAAATATCAACCCTTGCCTGCGACAGCCACGCGCTAGACCCTAAATATATAGGGTATATATATCGGTTTTTGGGTTAGGGTTGGTTGGTCGGTTGCTCTGTTCTTTCCTAGGGAGGATATCCCCTCCTCACACAATGGCCTGTCAAAACTTTTGTCACAGCCCTTTCGGCTGTGATTTAACCGAAAAGGCGAAAGGGAAGGAGGAGCGAAGGGCGTCTTTAAGTTGATTTTGATGTCTTATTAAATGGGTGTTTCGACTTAACAGCTTCTTAAGTAGTTTCTGAGGTGACAATTGGGTCTGTCAATTCCCCCTAATTGTTCCCTAAACCGAAAAACGAAAACCGAAGAGCGAGGAGAACCATTGTGAATATCGGTCCTTGGGTGCACTATAAATTTTTGATAGATTCATAAAACCTTCGATTATTATTCATAACTCGTTCCTCGAAGAAGGCTGCGTTCAATTTGCAATTCACACTTTTCAAATTTCATGGACTTCGTTAGTCACGGTCCGAACAAAAACCAACCTTTTCTGGCCCCCTTTTTTTACCACATTATTGACAGCATTTCGCTTGATTTGAATTCGAATATGTGTGAGGGAGGCTGTCTGGTCGAATGGGGCTGTGTGTGTGGGACTGGACACAGTTGCTGTGATTTCTTTCACGAACATGAAAATATATATATTTACATATATTTTATGCAAAAATTATTCCGTTATGCCAGCCGCCGTATGTGGGAGCGCTTTTGGGGTAGCTCAATGTGCAGTCAAACTGACCATTTGGCTTTTTTTTTATTGGTTGTGCTAAATGGAACAGGAGCGCGCTGAAAGGGGGGGTTTTAAATAATATAGCTACTGATATTAAATGGTTTTTCGGTCCTTTTCTTATACCTCTAAAAATTCATTTATGAAATAATTTAATTCTTTTATATTAAAATTACCATCAAAAAACTTTTTTTTGGGTCCTAAACTTTTTTTATTAGAATATAAATAACTTACCCTGAATAAATACCAAAATTCTTTTCATATTAGAAACCTGAATTACCTTAGTTTCCCTTAAACCCCTTTCATAAAGGCATTCACCGCCGCCCATGTCTATAGCCATTCACACAACACATACAAATCGAATTTGCACATCATCTGAATACCAAATTGACGCACGTAGCCCGTCCGAGGAGGAGAGAAAAAATCGTTCCTGGCCAGGGTTCGGTCGCATATGTAAAAAGGATGACCATGTGGTCGGTCGGTGGGTCGCCCACTTGGGCGAATAAGTCATCAAATTCATGTAGCATTCAGGCATCGGGGAATGGGGGATCGAGGATTGGGAATCGAGCATCAGGAGGCGAGCACAAGTCATAAAGTAGCCCAGGCAAACATATGCAAAAATTGCCTGCAGTGGACAGGATGTGGAAATTGGTTGGGGGAATAGGAATTTGGAAAGGGCTATTTGGGAATGTGAGATTCGGGATCCCAGACCAAAGGCCACTTCAAAGGGTTTAACTCCTTTGATTGCCATTTATGAGGGAGGAAGTCTTAGTCCTAGCTCAAAAATGAACTCGTCTTGTATTTAAATATTATTGCAAATCAATTGGCCTCTGCCCGAAACCATCCCCTCCCCACCCCCTTTGTTGTGCAAATAAAATGCATACAAATAGCAAATTTATACAAATCGCCTGGCCAGGCATTTGAAATGCTAAAATGCCACTTAAAAGCAGCTAAAAGCGTCAGCCAAAATGAAAAGAAAACATGAGAATTCCATTTGATGTCAAGGTGGAACTATGTAAACTATGGACCGAATGGCTCGAAGGGGGTGAAAAGAGAGGCTGACGGCATTTTCGCATAATAAAATGGGTGGGTGGTCACGAGAAAGGCTTTCACTCGAAACCGAAAACCAACGGACTATGAAATTGAACGAAAATTATACAAAACGCTCGTGTGGCCTATGCTAAATTTATGCAAAAGGACACTCGAATGGGAAATGGTCAGGGGGCTAGAGGTTCACTTTTTTGCATAGCATGAGTGGATGGGGAAATATATTTTGGTCAGTTGGTTACGCCTCTTTCTTGGCTTGATTGGAAAAGAGTTTCTATGTCATATTTTTCCACCTTTTAGTATTATTATATTTCATTTTCCTAACCCATAAATTTCTCTTTCTCTACTTTACAGCTTCCGATTGCGATGATAACAACTCGAGTGTTGGCACCTCCAGCGATCGCTGCCGCTCCCCGTTGAGTCCTGCTTTATCCCTGACCCACCAGCAGGCCAAGCGCCAGCTGATGTCCCAACTGCAGCCCCACCCGGCTCACCACCACCACCATCTAAACCACCACCTGAACCACCATCACCATCAGTTCAAGCAGGAGGAGGACTACGAGGATGCCAATGGCGGGGCCTTGAACTTGACCAGCGACAATAGTCGCCACAGCACCCAGTCGCCGGCGAACTCGGTTAAATCGGCGCATGCCTCGCCGGTTCCGGTGATTTCGGTGCCTTCACCAGTGGCGCCGCCCATGATCTCGCCGGTTCTGGCTCCCTCCCCGGTGGGTGGTGGTGGTGGAGCCACCACACCCAATTCGATGGCAGCCGCAGCTGCAGCAGCAGCCGCCGCCATGGCCTCCCAGATTTCACCCATGCTGGCCATGCCGGGCATGTCCTCGCCACAGGCTCAACTGGCTGCCGCCGGCCTGGGCATGAGTAATCCTCTGCTCACAGGCTCCCTGTCGCCGCAGGATTTCGCCCAGTTTCAGCAGTTGCTGCAGCAACGTCAGGTGGCTTTGACTCAGCAGTTCAACAGCTACATGGAGCTGCTAAGGAGTGGCTCCCTGGGAATGCAGCAGGATGATCCCGCACTGACCACCCAGGTGGCAGCTGCCCAGTTCCTGATGCAGAGCCAACTGCAGGCCTTGGGTCAGGCCACCCAGCAGCTGCAGGCGCTGCAGAAGCAGCAGCAGAGGCAGCAGATCCAGCAGGATGAGCCACTGCAGCTGAACCACAAGATGCAAGTGCAGCAGCCACGCAGCTCCACTCCCCATTCGATACGCAGTCCCATCGCGATCCGCAGTCCGGCCAGTTCGCCCCAGCAGCTGCACCACCACAGCCACCACCACCACCCACTGCAGATCACGCCGCCCAGTTCGGCGGCCAGCCTGAAGCTGAGTGGCATGCTGACGCCGAGTACACCCACCAGTGGCACCCAGATGGCCACCACCACGCCGGGCACCACCACGCCGCAGCCCAAGACGGTGGCCAGTGCCGCGGCCGCCCGGGCAGCTGGAGAACCCTCGCCCGAGGAAACCACCGACCTGGAGGAGCTCGAGCAGTTCGCCAAGACCTTCAAGCAGCGCCGGATCAAGCTGGGCTTCACCCAGGGCGACGTGGGTCTGGCCATGGGCAAGCTGTATGGCAACGACTTCTCGCAGACCACCATCTCGCGCTTCGAGGCCCTTAACCTGAGCTTCAAGAACATGTGCAAGCTGAAGCCGCTGCTGCAGAAGTGGCTGGACGATGCCGACCGCACCATCCAGGCCACCGGCGGAGTCTTCGATCCGGCCGCCCTGCAGGCCACCGTCAGCACGCCCGAAATCATTGGACGCCGCCGCAAGAAGCGCACCTCCATCGAGACCACCATTCGCGGTGCTTTGGAGAAGGCCTTCCTGGCCAACCAGAAGCCGACCTCCGAGGAGATCACCCAACTGGCCGACCGCCTCGGCATGGAGAAGGAGGTGGTGCGCGTGTGGTTCTGCAACCGCCGGCAGAAGGAGAAGCGCATCAATCCCTCGCTGGACAGCCCCACGGGCGCCGATGACGATGAGTCGTCCTATATGATGCACTAAGGGATCGGAAATGGGTCACTTTTAGGGACAAAGACAGTGCAATGTGCCGGAGAAATCTAAGGAAGCTTAGCAACAGCAGGTGTGTAAATTGTCTATGATAATAATATTAATTAAAATTCATTTTAAATTAAATAAAATTTACTTTTGACATAATTATTTTTATTAAAAAAATTGTCCATTAAATATTTTTAAAATATAAAAATACCCTTATTATTATAAACATTTCACAACTATTACTTTAACTTAACTAACCTTATCTCTTTCTTTGCTTATTATCTTGCAGGTTCAAAGTCGCAAACACATCAAATACTAGCATAATTCTGTACTTCGGATAGGTATCAGCTCCTACACAAAATGGGGTTTGCTTATGTTAACTATTAATGGTATTTATTTTAATGTAACTCTATTGAAAAGTCATACCAAAATACTGCTGTTTAAGTGAACTGGTTAACGACGTTTACTTAATCACCAACATTTTGCTGAGCATAAGAAAATTGTATTTTTTTGCTCAGATAAGCAAATAAATACGATTTCTTTATGAGTTAATGTGACGTTTGTGTATTACTAATATTTAAGTACAGTCTCTGCACAATTTTCAAAGTCAACATAATGAATTCCTAGCGAATAGTTATAAACTTAAACACTATCCACATCAAAAGAAAACGTAGATTAGTTTCTAAGCATATTTATTTTTCGCGTGAATACTGTGATAATCAATTTGAATGATTTTAATTTTAATTAAAAGAAAAAGAAAACAAAGAAAAACAATATAAACATAACTTAGCTGTACTTTGTATGTTATGGGCAAGTAAACTAACACAAAAAAAATTAATTTAAATCAAACGTATTTATGTGTAAAAACCAATTGAATTTATGAAAAAGAAACAAGAAAACATTTACAACTGTAAAGCATGAAAAACACTAGAATTTTTAAATGTATAACTACAAAAAGGCAAAAAAGAAAAACTCACAATGAAATAAAAACTATTATCATACAAAATAATTACAAAAATCTTTTATTTTAGAACACATCTCTTCCAAGTTTCAGCTCTTTTCTACTGTGTATTTATTGTTTTTTTCCACAAAAATACAGAAAGTATCTCAAAGATATCAATCACAAGGGAAGGAATTTGTTTTTGAAATTAGCTCAGCGGCGCATATGAAAGGGCATCATGAAGAATCGCAAATGTCTGAGACGGGCAAAAGGCGATCTGAAATTTTAATAAATAACAACATGCAAAACTGAAATTAATTCATGGAATTCAACTGGGAGAGAAGCGCGTGCAGAGCTAATAAGAACCAGACACCCGCAGTACGGCCACTGGACCGATTCGATCTCATGACCAAGATATCAACATGCAGATGAGCCGCATGGAACGAGGTTCCACGGGGTTTTCAGGCAGGGGCGAACCCGAACCCGGGTCACTTCAAGTACCCACACACTATCAATGGGAAGCCGACAAAACAAAATGAATTCACTGCGATTTGGAGGAACGTCGTTTGCTGTCATTGTCGCTCCAGCTTTGAGCAATTAAAAATTGTTTACTATCTCTGTGAGTTGGCAAGTCGAAAGTACAGGGGGCGTTCGATATATATAAAGGGATAAGTCTCCCTTTGGTATAGCACAAAATATAATAAAATGAAAAAATACATATTGGGGTACTCTAAGTTAGAGGAAAAATAATGCCATTTATATATGTTTTAAGCATTTATATATGTTTATTTAGAATTTGTATCACCAGCAACAATTTTATAAATTTTTCTATAGACGTCGGATTTTATCCGAAATTGATTTTTAATAAGCAGAAGTTTAGCAATCCCTTATCAGAACTAAAATAGATATAAATATAATTATGATTTTATGAACATATTATTTTTATTTTGTAAAAACAATTATATTTAAAATTTTACCATTATATGGTAAATTCTTTTTTTATTGTATGCAAATCATCTAAGTAAATGTAAATAAAACATAAATTACACTAGTTTACAAAATAAAATCGACCTCACCCTAATCGAAGGCAACCTTAATTTTCCGGTAAAGTACATCTCCCTGATTAAGAAATGGGCACTTATAATTTTTTGTATGGTGTCAATTTTTTTTTAAGTGTAAAAATGTATGAAAATAATTATTTTCATAAAATCTGAAATATGAGATTAGTACAGCGAGGAATTTTGTAACTTTAAAGCCTTTTACTTGACATTTTTAATCTGTTAGAACTTCTAACTTAGAATCACGTACTTGTCTTGCTAGGGCCCACTGTACTCATTAGCAGGCCAGAAGCTCGACATATACGCAAATGATGTTGAAAGCAGATGCAGATGCCCTCCCATCGACCTCCCTGGTACTTTCGTACCGCCGCTCTTCCGCAGACACTTGTTTGCATGGAAAGCGCATAATCATCGCGTGTCATGTGGAAATTTATACTATTTATGGTCTGTTTGTTTGTAGTCAGATGGAATCAAACGGAATGGGTAGCGTTGCGCTTTGGTCTTTTCTGTTTGGTGTTGGGCCTTGAACGGGGTGGGATGGGGCTGGGATGTACGAGATGTTTTAGCCCTGGGCACTTATGCCTGGCTTTTGTCTGCTCTGCCCTTAATTTTAATAAATTCATGGAAAATTGCTGGTAATTACGAGACAAGCGACGACGATTTCACAGGAATTCAGCGGCTCAGCCCAGCCATTTCCTTCCGAAAGAAAACGGCTTGGAGAGCGTTAATTTGCATATAAGAAAATTGGAGCTCGTAAACCCCATTAGCGCGTACAGCGAACATTGTAGATGGATTGCGATAAATCTTTTTGGCCCCTCGAGGGCACCTGAAAATGAGCCTTAGTTCGAGACCCCCAATTGGCATTTCCCAGGAAACTTTCTAAGCTGCGCGAAATTTTGAATATTCATTCGGGACCTAAGTCTGGGGCCTAAGTTCTACACGCTTAAATCAACTGAATTATACAAATTAAAGCACATTTAATTACCGACTCGAGATGTGGCGGAAATATAGCTTTAAGGTGATGGGTCGTCTAGTATGCACTCCACTTCTATGCCATTTAAATCCCCGATATGACGAGCTTAACACCTGCTCCTCTTCTTGCGGGACTGTCTTCTTGTCATGCAGTGGCATCAAAGACATCAAAACTAACCTGAATGAGGCATAAATTTCAATGGACTCTTTTTTTCTTCTATTTTTTACTCTCCAACTTTCTAGTCGCGAGCTGCGACTACAAAAAATAAAGAGGAAAATTTGCAATGCATTGCATTTTAGTTGGAATTGCTTAATTTATCAGTTCAGCACACAGTTGGCATTTCCAGCCCGGAAAATGGGAAAAGGGGGAGGCCGGCGAGGCACGGAGCCCATGAATATGCATTGTGGAACTTGCCTCTGCCACATACTTTTAGTTAGACATTTTATTTCATTGCTGCATATATGGATACACCCTGTTTTATTTGTGTTCAAAGAAGGCCAATACTAGGAATCGTTAGGGGTTAGGTTGGGGAATGCCATTAAACGAGTTAAAAAATTAATATGATTCATTCAGGGTTCGATATATGCAGAAAGCTACGGGAGACTTACTCCGGGCTCCTTGGCTTTTAACTACTTTTACAACTAGTTAAAGCTTAAGAATTATGACTGGGAAATAAATCAGTTTTTAATTGATTTCTAGTTCTGAGCGTAGGATACATATATTCCCTTTTATATTAAAGCTAAAAAACAAGAGTAGTTATTGAGAAGGGGTGCATTTTTTTTAATTTCAGGCTTGGTAGGTAATATCAAACAGGTTTTTTCTTCAGCTAAGAATTAATCTTTAGCTTTAACAAAAAATATTTTTAAAGTCCTTAAATAAAGTACAAGAGGTGAATCTTAAAGTACAAGTGGTGAATAAAAAAACAATAAAATTCCCAGCCATTTACTTCAGTAAACTGAAAGTCTGAGTCATAGCCGCATGGCCCATTCCAACCCTCCCTAATCAAATCAATAGCTAATAATATTGACCTTAAATCATACAAAGAACTTGGAATTATTACATTTGCGTGTACTTAATGAATGCAAGTGCAGACCACAATCGAATGCCGAAAAGCCAGAACTCAATAACCGCGAGCAGGTGTTCTCCAATACAAATTATGCAACTTTAATTTGCAGTCGACAACAAAAAAGAAACAAAGAAGCCTTATTAGCATTCGGCCAATGCAAAAGGGAGCCAATTTGTAAATTATATGAAAAGGTCGAGCATGCAAGTTAACCACTTCCCGTTCCTGCTGGTCATTAATTAAAAATTAGTTTTGTAAATATTTTGCTCGCCTTTTTGCGCAATTCGGTTTCAGTTTGTCTGGTAATTTTCATTTTTTCGTTTTTTTTGTAATGTATTTTCTTTGTTTGTTCCTTCTGGAAATTAAATTGTTTTATAACGAAGTGTCTGTGGGTTGCGAAGCGCAAAAGTGGCGCCGTCCCCTTCCTTCCATCCTTTCCGGGGGCAAATGGTTAACTTCCCGGCACTTTGCATGCGATCATGCAATTGCACCGCTCGGAGTGGGCGGTCAAGTGGGCGGGACGGGGGGAGGGGCCCACAACCTAGCCCGGTCCATATTACTTTTGAATTTAATTTACGGCTCGGGACTCATTAAAGCTCGTGGCCATAGAATGTCTCTGTTGCCCAGCTTGTGATTGCCCAGGGAACCGGGATCCGGCAAAGAAAGATCCAGCTACCCACTCCCCATTCGACTCTCTTGGCTGGGTATGTTAATATCAGGAGGAGGGGACTATGTAGCCACAACACCTACTTCATTACACGTTGCAGAAATATAATGCAGCTGGGTTTTCATGCCTTTTTGAGGTAATTCTTCATATATGAACAGTGGTTCGAAGGGTGATGAAATCAATCATCATTCTGTAATAACTGAGTACAGCGAATATAATTCAGTTTCTCTTTTAGAGATCCTAAAGGTAAATAATGGTTGGTTTGATTTTTATTATAAACGCTTTAAAAAACCAATAATTTTTTTTAATTAATAAAGATTTTAAAATGTATCTTAAAAATAATATTAGTTTTAAACTCTTTCGTTCAAATTTCTGTTTATAATACTCATTTATTTTTTAAAAATAAAGAGCTATTACTCTTATATCCTTAACCACTGTGCAGCTACAAATCGAGTCGGTGCATTATGCCAAGAACTATCAAAATCTTATTAAATAACAATGTTAAAGCCAATCCCCTGGGGCCCAGCGGATCGCGTTAATAGAAAACATCATCAAAGCGAACAAATATACATTTTATGATTGCGATAATCAACAGAGACACACAAAGAAAGGAACGCTTTTCCATGGTCAGTGGGTAGGTGTAAAATTATAATACATATAACTAATTAGTAAATATCATTTGCTGCCCAGAATCGCGTACATTAGATATAGACACCGGCCATGCAAAGACATAAAATCGGGCTAAAATCTACAATCTACAATCTTACAATGATGAAGAGCCCAGAAAGAGATCTTGCACGCAATCCGAACGGACAGCATTTTTATTTCTCATTAAATGCACATTAAACCCGATGCTAATTGTATTTTCTTGTACCGCGGGGCACCATGCAAATCGCCTTTGGTGGGTGTTTTGCCTGTCAACCGAGTCCGATCAGGGGATTCTCACACAGAACCCCACTTGATTACATATTTAGAGCGGGAGGGGATCGTTCTCATCTCGTGTCGGCCGACATGAAGCCAATTAAAGCCACAAACTGCACTTGCAACTGCAAGTGTCATAAAATTTAATTTATTTAAATTAAGACAATGGCAAAAAATTTGCGTTTTTAATTGTCAAGTGCGGCCGGCGTTCGAAGCTCTTATAAGTTTTTCAAAA